GGGGCGCCGGATTCTGTCCCGGTTGTTTTCTCTTCCAGTCCAACTCTCTGCTGTGGCCCAGGAAGGCAGTGGAGGATGGCCCAAGTGCTTGGGCCCCGCACCCACATGGGAGACCAAGAGGAAGCACCTGGCTCTTGGCTTTGGATTGGCGCAGCGTGCCAGCCGAAGCGGCCATCTGGGGGGTGAACCAACGGAAGGAAGACCTTTCTCTCTGTCTCTCTCACTGTCTAACTCTGCCTGTCAAAAAAAAAAAAAAAATCTTTCTGTCTTTGTCACTCCACCTTCCAAATAATACTGTGTGAACCATATCAAAAAAGTTGTAATTTTATTTTTTTTAAAGATTTATTTATTTGAAAGTCAATGTTACACAGAGAGAGGAGAGGCAGAGAGAGAGAGAGAGAGAGAGAGTGGTCTTCCATCCGATGGTTCACTCCCCAGATGGCCTCAACAGCCGGAGCTGCGCCGATCCGAAGCCGGGAGCCAGCAGCTTCTTCCCAGTCTCACACAGGGGTGCAGGAGCCCAAGGATTTGGGCCATCTTCTACTGCTTTCCCAGGCCATAGCAGAGAGCTGGATCGGAAGAGGAGCAGCCGGGACTAGAAACCGTGCCCATATGGGATGTCGGTATTTCAGGCCAGGGCTTTAACCCACTGTGCCACAGCACCAGGCCCAAAAGCTGTAATTTTAAAAAGGCTAAATGGAGGGGGCCGGCACTGCTGGCGCTGTGGTGCAGCAGGTTAATGCCCTGGCCTGAAGTGTCAGCATCCCATACAGGCCCCAGTTCAAGGCTCAGCTGTTCCACTTCTGATCCAGCTCTCTGCTATGGCCTGGGAAAGCAGTAGAAGATGGCCCAGGTCCTTGAGCCCCTGCACCCATGTGAGAGACCTGGAGGAAGCTCCTGGCTCCTAGCTTTGGATGGGCACAGTTCTGGCCGTTGCAGCCAATTGGGGAGTGAACCATCGGATGGAAGATCACTCTCTGTCTCTCTCTCTGCCTCTCCTCTCTCTGTGTAACTCTGACTTTCAAATAAAAATAAATTTTAAAAAAAGGCTAAATGGATACATATTTGCATGATAAAACTAAGAAGAAATTTAAGGAACTGATTACAATAAATCAATAACAAGGTTAATACTGGGAGAAGGGAGTATGATGTAATCAGAAGAGGGCACACAGTTATCAAGGGTGGCTAGCAAAATTCTAATTTTTAAAAAAGATTTATTTATTTATTTGAAAGGCAGAGTTACAGAGAGAAAGCCACAGCAAGCACAAGAGAGACATCTTCCATCCACTAGTTCATTTCCCAAAGAGCCACAACGGCCACAGGTGGGCTAAGCAGAAGCCAGGAGCCAGAACCCGACTGGGTCTATGTGGGTGGCAGGGCTACTTGAGCCATCTTGCATTGCTTTCCCATATGCATTAGTAGGGAGCTGGAACGGCAGTGGAATAGCTGGAACTCAAAATGGCACTCATATAAGATGCCAACATCACAAGTGGCAGCTTAACCTGCTGCACCACAATGCTGGCCCCACAAAATTCTACTTCAAAAAAAATTTTTTTTTATTTGAAAGGCAGAGAGACAGTGACAAAGAGAAAGCTTCCACCAACTGGTATTCTCCCCAAATGGTCCAGTAGTGGAGTTATAGGGTGAGATTTTTCTGTAACTATTTTGTTTTACACTAGAAAGGCTATTAAAATAGACTCCCTAATGGCAGTGGAAGATGGCCCAAGTACCTGGGCCCCTGCCACCCACGTGAGAGACATGGATGTTCCAGAATCCTGGTTTTGGCCTGGCCTGGCCCTGGCTAGTGCAGACATTTGGGGAGTAAATCCGCAGATGGAAGATATCTTTTTCTTTGTAACTCTTTTTTTTTTTTTTTTTTTTTGACAGGCAGAGTGGACAGTGAGAGAGAGAGACAGAGAGAGAGAAGGGTCTTCCTTTTTGCCGTTGGTTCACCCTCCAATGGCCGCCGCTGCAGCCGGCGCACCGCGCTGATCCTGGCAGGAGCCAGGAGCCAGGTGCTTATCCTGGTCTCCCATGGGGTGCAGGGCCCAAGCACCTGGGCCATCCTCCACTGCACTCCCTGGCCATAGCAGAGAGCTGGCCTGGAAGAGGGGCAACCGGGACAGAATCCGGCGCCCCAACCGGGACTAGAACCCGGTGTGCCGGCGCCGCAAGGTGGAGGATTAGCCTATTGAGCCACGGCGCCGGCTTGTAACTCTTTCAAATAAATACAAGAAATCTTTTTTAAAAAAAATACAAATTTGTTTCAAACATAATATAAAGTCTCACTGGGGACTGGCACTGTGGCATAGCAGTTAAAGCCACCGCCTGCAGTGTAAGCATCCCATATGTACTCATATGTGTAACTCTGACTCAGGAGGAAAAAAAAAAATTCTATAAAAAAATTTATTTATTTGAAAAGGGTTTACACAGGAGGGGAGAGACAGAGAGAAGTCTTCCAGTTTTTCCCTTCCCACCGGGGTTCCCTCCCCCAGGGGGGCTGCAATTGGCCAGAGGGGGCACCAAATCCGAAAGGGCGGGGAGCCCCGGGTGCTTCCTTCCGGAGTTCCCCAAAGGTGAGGTGCAAGGGGCCCAAGGGATTTTGGCCAATTTTTTTTATTGTTCTTCCCAGACAAATAGCAAGAGACCTGGATTGGAAGTGGGAGCACCCCAAGACCCGAACCCAGCGCCATATGGGAGCACCCCTTCGGCCAGGGTGTTAACCTGCTGCTCCATAGTGCTGGCCCCAATAAATAAACCTTAATAAAATATATGAAAAAATGGGCCGGTGCCACGGCTCAATAGGCTGATACTCTGCCTGCGGTGCTGGCACATCAGGTTTTAGTCCCGGTCGGGGCGCCGGATTCTGTCCCGGTTGCCCCTCTTCCAGGCCAGCTCTCTGCTATGGCCCAGGAGTGCAGTGGAGGATGGCCCAAGTGCTCGGGCCCTGCACCCCATGGGAAGCACCTGGCTCCTGCCTTTGGATCAGTGCGGTGCGCCGGCCGCAGCACACTGGCCGCAGCGGCCGAGGGTGAACCAACGGCAAAGGAAGACCTTTCTCTCTGTCTCTCTCTCTCACTGTCCACTCTGCCTGTCAAAAAAAAAGAAAAAAGAAAAAATGTTCAGTATCATTAGCCTTAAGGAAAATGCAAACCAAAATCACAATGAGATATCAACTCACTCCTGTCAGAATGGCTAAAATTCAAAACCCATAAAATAGGGCCCCCCTCCTTCTCCTTCTCTATCTGTGTAACACTGACTTTCAAGTCAATAAATAAATCTAAATAATAATAATAATAAAGTCTCACTGAACACCACTTACATGTGCAAGGTATCATGTTTGGCTATGTCCACCATAAGAGACTATGCCCTTCCTCAAGGAATTTCTTTCAGCAGGAATTAAAATAAGGGAACCAGAGAAAGAAGCAGGTCATGTTATTAACTGGCACGAAATTTACAGATAACATACTAGAGAGCTTAGAAGAGAATATGATTTGGAGGCAAGGGATGGGGGTAGGGAGTGTCTAAGAAAAGGAATTTAAGTTACATCATGAAAAGAGGTTAAAACTGAAACATAGATCTTATGAAGGTGACATTACACCCAGAGGCAAAAAAAATTTTCAAGAAGAAAATAGTTTCAGAGACTCTGAAGAATAACTAACATTATGGAGCACTTACTAAATTTTATTCCTTTTCATGCATCAAATCATTTAATCTTCACCACAATTGTACACAGTGAGTCCTATTATTATTTCTACTTAACAGATCAAGTGACTGTGGCACAGAGCTGCACATGTCCTGCACATGTCCTCAGTGGTGGGTACAGTGTGGAGCATGGACTGTGACTCTACACTACTTGGTGAGAATCCTAATTCTGGGGGCCCAGCGTTGTGCCGTACGAGGACAGCCACTGCCTGTGATGCCTACCTCCCACATGGGCACCGGTTCCAGTCCTGGCTGCTCCACTTCTGATCAAACTCCCTGCTAATGGCCTGGGAAAGACAGTGGAAGATGGCCTGAGTGTGTGGTCCCTTGCCACCCACGGGGGAGACCAGAAGCTCCTGGCATCAGCCTGGCCCAGCACCAGCTGTTTCAGCCATCTGGTAAGTAAACCAGCGGATGGAAGATATCTCTCTGTCCCTCACTTTCTGTAACTCTTTCAAAAAATAAATAAATCTTTAAAATAAAAAAGAATCCTAGTTCTGCCTTTACCCAATTACTTCACCTCTGTGACTCAGGGCTCTCTTTTGAAAACGGGAGTGAGAACACCAGCATCTTCATCGTATAGATGTGGTGGAGATAAAATGGCTTAGTGCGTATAAAGAATTCACAAGGATTGAATGCACGTAAAGACTTTCTAACAGTTTGTGACCGAAACTAAGTACTCATTAACACTAGACATTATATAAAAACATTTCATAGCTCTTATTTTCATTAAATAGGCATTAAATTAAAGGTATTAAATTATATACCCTTGTCCCTTATGTTCTTCAATAATGACTACTTGTATTTTAGATTGCTATTTCAGATTACATTGTGTCTACAATACTTTTTGAGGCACTTAGGACAGTAGAACGTTATTATTTGCCAAGAAGGTACCATCATTCCGGGAAACAGGCAACTTGGTAGTTCCTTTCCCGCACTGGTACAGTGATGGCTGATTTAAAAATGTTTGCAGAACATAAAGGCTAAAGACAAGCAGAGGAAGCAACTCTGCCAAGGCTGTGGCCAGGGTAAAGCAAGCACAGACACCACTAAGGGACATCTGCATAGGTCTCCTAACCATGGCCTCTGAACCCAGAGGATAATCAGCCGCAGCAGCAGTAGCCAGGGACGCAGATGCCAAAGGGTCTTTCGGTTAAGTTACCCTAAAAGAGTCCTCTTCCTAGCCCTACGCTAGATGCAGAGGGCAGAAAGTGCGGGTAGCAGGGATGACAGACTCACAAAGGGAAAAAGGAGTTGCCTGAGAAAGGCCAGGCAGGATCCCCGAATATACATACTTTCCGTAGGAAGTATCTTTCAGTACTAATTCTGGAGCTCTGTACCAGCGCGTGGCCACGTAGTCTGTATAAACGTCCCCGGGAGCTGCTAGAGTTCGTGCAAAACCAAAATCACAGAGCTTAGTAATTCCCGACTGGGACACTAAAATATTCTCAGGTTTTATATCTCGATGAATGATCTAAAAAACAAACAGAAGATGAAATACATTAAAATGAGGTTTCATTACCTAGAGAATCTCTGAAAACTTGCACAGCAAAAACTTAACTAATTAAGACTATAAAGCTCTTTACCACATGCAAAGGGTTAACTCAAAATGAAAACATAGTTACAATTTTCAATTTCTGCATAATCTATGATTTCAAAATGCAATGAAGCCAAGAAGACAGAAATAAGACTACAAGGAAGGGTAAATCGCATTCCTATAAGGCAAATCAAAAGAATCTAAAGACAAAGAACTTTCCTTTAACACTGCCCCTTCTCTCATTTTCTTCAGTTAAACCTCTTGAACACATTACCTGTACTCATTCTCGTCACCTGGGAACCACCTTTCATTCAAGATAACGTAATCTGTCTTCCATTCCCACACCGCATTAAATTTCTCCGGAGAAAGTCATCAACATTGTGGCTATATCCAACAGACCCCTCTCGATCCACATCTTACTTTATCTATTAGTGTAAAAACTTGCCTGGGGCTGGTGCTGTGGCGCAGCAGGTTAATGCCCTGGCCTGAAGCACTGCCATCCCATATGGGTGCTGGTTCTAGTCCTGGCTGCTCCTCTTCTGATCCAGCTCTCTGTTATGGCCTGGGAAAGCAGTAGAAGATGGCCCAAGTCCTTGGGCACTTGTACCCACGTGGGAGACCTGGAAGAAGCTCCTGGCTCCTGGCTTCTGATCAGCGCAGCTCTAGCCATTGCGGCCAATTGGGGAGTGAACCATTGGATGGAAGACTCTCTCTCTCTGCCTCTCACTGTGTAACTCTGACTTTCAAATAAATACAATCTTAAAAACAAACAAACAAACAAACAACAAAAAAAACTTGCCAACAGAGGGGGGTGCTGTGGTACAGCAGGTTAAGCCACCACTTGATACATTCATATCCCATATGGTAGTGCCAGTTTGAGTCCTGGCTATTCTACTTCTTATTATTATTATCATTTATTTTTCATTTATTTGAAAGGCAGAGTTATAGAGAGGCAGAGGCAGAGAGAGGTCTTCCATCCACTGGTTCTATTCTCAAATGGCTGCAATGGCTGGGGCAGGGCCAATCTGAAGCCAGGAAAGAGCAGCTTCTTGCAGGTGCCACATCTGGGTGCAGGGGCCCAGGCACTTGGGCCATCTTCCACTGTGGACAGCAGGCACATTAGCAGGGAGCTGAATCGGAAGTGGAACAGCCAGGACTTGACCCAGCACCCATGTGGGATGCCAGCACTGAAGACAGAGGCTTAGCCTTCTTTGCCACAGTGCAGGCCTCTAGTCTACTTCCAATCCAGCTTCCTGTTAATGATCCTAGGGGCAGGCAGTAGATGACAGCACAGTAAATGGGTTCCAGCTGCCCACGTGGGACACCTGGATGAAGTTCTGGGCTCCTGGTTTGTGAACCAACAGATGTAAGACCTCTCTCTCTCTTTCTGTGTCTCTCCCTTTCAAGTAGATGAAAATAAACATCTGGAAAAAAAATTTGCCCACTACTCCTTCATGCCTGGTTTCTAGGCATTTTTCCAATCTCCTTTTATCTCTCTGGCAGTTTCTCACTCCATGTCTCTCTTTTTTAGTTTTAAAGATTCATTTATTTATTTAAAAGGCAGAGCTACAGAGACAGAAGTGGGAGGGGGTCCTCAATCTGATGGTTCACTCCCCAGATGGCTGCAATGGTTGGAGCTGTGCCAATCTGAAGCCAGGAGCCAGGAGCCTCTGTTGGGTCTCCCACACAGGTTCAGGGGCCCAAGAACTTGGGCATCTTCTACTGCTTTCCCAGGCTACAGCAGAGAGCTGGATTAGAAGTACAGCAGCCGGTTCTCAAACTGGTGCCCATATGGGATGCTGGCACTGCAGGCGGCAGCTTTACCTGCTATGCCACAGCGCCGGCCCCTTCATGTCTCCTAAATAAGGGTGCTGGTCTGAGGCTTTCCTCTCTTCTCATTTATCAAGTTTCCCAGTGAAAGTTGAAAGGCAGAATTATAAATTTCAAATAAATCTCATATACCCTTTATTTTTGGGCCACTTTCATCAATTTGCTGTGGAGACAACACACTCTCTCGGGTTTCATACCACCTATTGGTTCTATCTCAATCTTATCTGTCTTTTAACATTTATATTGACAGAAATTTTATATATTTATCATGTACATGTTCTTTTGAAATATATACACATGATGAGATAGCTAAATCAAACCAACTAACAAATGCATTGACTCACACATTGTAATTTTTTGTGGTAAGAATACTTAAAATCGGGCCAGCGCCGCGGCTCACTAGGCTAATCCTCCGCCTGCGGTGCCAGCACACCAGGTTCTAGTCCCGGTCAGGGCGCCAGATTCTGTCCCGGTTGCCCCTCTGGAAGAGCTCTCTGCTGTGGCCAGGGAGTGCAGTGGAGGATGGCCCAGGTGCTTGGGCCCTGCACCCCATGGGAGACCAGGAGGAAGCACCTGGCTCCTGCCATCGGATCAGCGCGGTGTGCCAGCCGCAGCGTGCTGGCAGTGGCGGCCATTGGAGGTTGAACCAATGGCAAAAGAAGACCTTTCTCTCTGTCTCTCTCTCTCACTGTCCACTCTGCCTGTTAAAAAAAAAATACTTAAAATCCACTCTCTCAGTGATTCTCAAGAATAAAATAGGGGCTGGCATCGTGGTGGTCCAGCAGATTAAGCTGCTACCTGCAATGCTGGCAACCCCCAGGAGTATTGGTTCCAGTCCCAGCTGCTCCACTTGTGATCCAGCTCCCTGCTAATGCACTTGAGAAAGCACTAGAAGACAGCCCAAGTGTCTGAGCCCCTGCCACGTGTGAGGCCCAAATGGGAGTTGCAGGCTCATGGCTTCAGCCTGGCTCAGCCCTGGCCAGTCATTCTGGGAGTGAACCAACGGGCAGAAGATCTCTTCATCTTTCCCTGTAACATGTTATTTCAAATAAATAAATCTTTAAAAATAAAGGAATACGGCCAGTATCGTGGCTCATTTGGCTAATCCTCTGCCTGCAGCGCCAGCTCCCCAGGTCCTAGTCCCAGTTGGGGTGCCAGGTACTAGTGCCGGTTGCTCCTCTTCCAGTCCAGCTCTCTGCTGTGACCTGGGAAGGCAGTGGAGGATGGCCCAAGTGCTTGGGTTCCTGCACATGCATGGGAGACCAGGAGGAAGCACCTGGCTCTTGGCTTTGGATCGGCGTGCAGCGCTGGCCGTGGTGGCCATTTGGGGGGTGAACCAACGGAAAAAAGGAAGACCTTTCTCTCTGTCTCTCTCTCTCTCTCACTGTCTAACTCTGCCTGTCAAAAAAATAATAATAAAAAAATAAAGGAATACAATTATTGTTATGAACCATTTTGTCCAACAGATCTCTTGAACTTATTCCTAAGTGAAATTTTTTTTCTTTTGACCAAAATCTCCCTGACCATCCTCACTCCTAGTAACTATCATTTTTTAAAAAGATTTATTTATTTATTTGAAAGGCAGAGTTATAGAGAGGCAGAGGCAGGTGTGGAAGAGAGAGGGAGATGGGAGAGGAGAGAGGGGAGAGGGAAGAGGGGAAAGGGAAGAGGGAAGAGGAAAGAGGGAATAGGGAGAGATTCCATTCGTTGGTTCATGCCCCAAATGGCTGCAATGGCCTGAGCTGCACCGATCCAAAGCCAGGAACCAGGAGTTTTTCCGGGTCTCCCATGAGGATGCAGGGGCCCATGGACTTGAGCCATCTTCTCCTGCTTTCCCAGGCCATCAGCAGAGAGATGGATTGGAAGTGGAGCAGCTAGGATTCCAACTAGTGCCCACATGGGATGCTGGCACCACAGTCGGAGGTTTAACCTACTATGCCACAATGCCAGTCCTGGATGTTGTTTTAATTTGCACTTTTTTGATTAGTGGTTTTGAGCCCTTCTTCATCTACCTGTTGGCCATTTGTATGGTTTCTGAGAAATATCTACTTAAATTCTTTACTCATCTTTAGAGTTCTTTTTCTTACTACTGAGTTGTGTGAGTTCTTGAATATATTTTGAATATTAACTCTGTCAGATGTGTGGTTTCCAAGTGTTTTCTTCTATTCTGTAGGTTTTCCATCCACTCAACTATTTTCTTGGATTTGCAGAAGCTTTTTAGTTTGATGCAATGCCATTTGACTCTGTGTTTTGTTGCCTGTGCTTTGGGGTTCATATAAAAAAAAAAAAATCATTGTCCAGGGGCTGGTGCTAAGGCGCAGCAGGTTAAAGCCCTGGCCTGAAGTGCCAGCATCCCATATGGGCGCCGGTTCTCGTCCTGACTGCTCCTCTTCCAATCCAGCTCTCTACTATGGCCTGGGAAAGCAGTGGAAGATGGCCCCAGTCCTTGAGCCCCTGCACCCACGTGGGAGACCTGGAGGAAGCTCCTGGCTCCTGGCTTCGGATTGGCACAGCTCTGGCCGTTGTGGCCATCTGGGGAGTGAACCAGTGGATGGAAGACCTCTCTCTCTGCCTCTACCTCTCTCTGTAACTCTTTCAAATAAGTAAAATAAATCTTTAAAAGAAAATCATTGTCCAGCCCAGTGTCACAACTTTCCTCTTATGTTTTTTTCTAAGTGTTTTACAGTTTCAAGTCTTACATTTAAAGCTTTAAATTTATTTTGAGTTGGTTTTAATATATTATTCACCTATTCTCAATAGCTTTAGTATCTATCAAAATGTTGATGATTTTCAGATTTCTGTCTCTAATCAAGATCTCTCTCTCCTGGATTCCATAAGGAAAATAAGCTCACAAGAAATCCCATGAGGATGACCACAGGCCCCTACAATCTAACACATCCAAAACTAAATAAATCATCTTCTCCCCAAAACATACTGGCTCTCAACAATGTGTAATTTCAGTAAGTGGAGCCAAGCCTGATCCCATAGCTCAAGCCAGAAACCAAGTCATTCTCCCCTCCCCCACACTCCATCTTTTCTCATCTACTTCTCCTAGTTCAGGTTCCCTCAGCTTTCCCACCAAAATTACTACGTTAGCCTATCAGTTG